CCCCCATGCAACGTCACACCTGAAGACCGATGAACTCGTTATGCATAGAGAAGCCATTTGATTTTCCTAGCATATTGCCTTGGGGAAGCTAAATGCTTGAGCGCTGTTTGGAAATTACTGGTAGCCAAAAATAACCTTAGGATTAGCAAACAGAATTTTATATTGAGCCTTTGGTTGTTAAAAACTACGCTCTCCATTCCTTTGCTGACCAACACTGCACCTCCAAGGCCAGCAGTCTTGCTTGGCATGGCATCAGTTTGTGAGCTATTCCTGAGCATTAGGCAAAAACCAAGCTCAAAAGCAGTAAAACCAGTACTATGCTCCCACATGACCATGAGGGCCCCTCCATAATGACTGCAGAGGCTGACACCGGCTTAGGCCAGAAAGGACCATAGAAAAAAGAGGGCAAAAGAGCGACATTCCTAGCAGTTGGGCGAAGCGAAGCCATTGTTTCAAGAGTTCACATTCATGCTAACATGGTGAAGCAAAGAAAATGCCTGCCCTTTTTTTGTTCAGCACCTGCTGGGACCCTAAGTATGGGTAAGGCCGTATCTACCCCATATCACAAGCAGAATTCTCAAGCAGACAATGCTCAGAGAGGAAATTAACAGGAGAGAAACTCTGAAATTTTAAGACAGATAAACATCAACTGAAAAGGTTGATGATGGCTAATTAATAAAATCAGACACAGCCTTTTGAAAGAGCTAATAATTGGGTTCTGAACAGAGCTATATGTTCATGCATAAAGCTGCTTATGAAACAGGACATGATGCACGTGTTCCTGAAGGTAAAATAACACCTTTAAAGCATACCAAATAGGGACACCAATAGGAAATCTGTGCAGAAAGAACTTGTAACTGTGGAACATTAAAACAAAATCAAATCCTGAAGTTCAACCTGCAGTTAAGCCTACAGCTACAGACTCTGTTAAAGTGCTCCAAGGCTTCTGTGCCATGCGATCAGACACCCCAGGTTTCTCAGACGCCTTCCCAAATTTCTCGGTAGTAACCTGACCCTGCGAAACACCGTCATGAGTAGGCACCCGGGCATCACCTCCCTGCCCCACCTCTGGCCTCGCAGCATGGGAGGAGATCTAAAAGTCAGTGGACAACAGAAACTGTCTTCTTTAACTGACAGTTCTAAATTTGACTTCTTGTCTACATGCATTTACAGCCGTAACTGTGTGAAAGCTAACTCCTCCTCCTAGGGCAACACTGTGAAGGAGAAGGCATCCATACCACAGCAAGACAGTTTCTTTTAGGTTATCAGGCCAGTTAGCTGGCCGAGTAAGAGAGAGAGAAGTCACTGAGGAAGGGCACCTGCTGTATGAGATGTCTTACTAGCTGGACAGATGGCGATTCCCAAACACAGAGCAGGCAGGGGAGGAGAAAAAGAATTAAAAAAAAAATAAAAAAAAAAAAAGGAAAAAAAATAGTATGTTCTTTCTCAAGAATCTCAGCTTATTCAACCTTTATGTCTCAAGGCTGATTCAGAAGGAATATATAAAAGAGCTCTTACCTGACACGATGGCTGCATAAGTTTCCTGCCCAATCTGATCTTAAAATGTTTTTATGAAACACCAATAAATTGGAAAGCAGGTAAAAAAAAAAAAGTAGACACTATCAAAACTCACCATGATTCTGAGTTTACCTTACAGGCTCTGACCTTCAAATAGTCTCAGATGTATTTATGAACACACATAAAACAACCTGATTTTATTAGTTTCTCTAGTGTATTAATTCACAATGCTACTTTTATGCAAAGTTCTGGAAGAATAAGAAACCTAATTGAATAATTTTCACCAAAGCCTTAAGGATTTTAACATTTGACATGAAAATTCATTTACATGTCCCACATGAAAACTAGATGAAGAGAAAAAGCCTGAAAGCAGCGTTCTAGAGTCTTCTAGAAGTGTTCCCATCCTGGTTCTTATGCCTGTTTTGCTTTTTCTACACAGCATTTTGGAGCAGGGGAGTGGGCATGCAACATGCAATAATTAGAAAGGCCTGAGCACTAAATCATGTATATTTTGTTTGTTTAGAAAGGGTTTTATTCAGTTTTCTGAGGCTTATTTTAAATAAAATGACATATTAAAAAACACCATATGAGCAGTACGAAAAACAAGGACTTTAGTCATCACATTTTAGTTATAAAAGTTCTGTTCAGTTAACTAAAAGAATTCAATGACAACATCAGTTGGTCTAATGCAATGATTCATATGGTCATACTTAATTCTAACCTAAACCCAAGTTAACATATCTAAATTCCTGATACCAGTAAACACCACCACTATATTTTGCCAGTTACTCCATTAATATTTACAGTATTTTAGTATCTTCGGTATCCTCCCCCTCCT